CCTTGTCGTGGTTCCTCTCCAGGTACGTAGTCATAATCCTTCCAATAATCCTAAACCCTAAATCCTTCCCATACTTCCAATAATCCTTTTAATATCCAAGCCTATAATCCTTGCATGAGCCGCAAAACGTAATAAAATAAAAACGAAACGTAAAAGGAACACTGCCTATGGACGGATGACATCCTTCAACGGATGTCAACATCCGTTTAAGGCAAAACGGATGTCGACATCCGTTTAAGGCAAAACGGATGTCGACATCCGTTTTGCCTTCAACGGATGTTGACATCCGTTGAAGGATGTCATCCGTCCAGAGGCAGTGTTCCTTTTACGTTTCGTTTTTATTTTATTTGTTTATTTTATTTACAGTAATTTATATTTAAATTTATAATTTTAAATGTTATATATGGTTAGTTTTTAAACGTAATAATTTTGTTAAAATATGAATTTGTTAAAATATGAATTTGTTATAGGTGGAGAAGAAGCTTAACGGAAGAGAGAAAGGTAAACGAAAATGGAAGAGAGGAAGAGGTGCAGAGGGAAGTAAATCAGAAGTTTTAAATAAATTAAAATATTAAAATAATAAAAATAAAAAATTTTAACTTTTGAGGATATAATTGTCATTTTAGAAGGATATAATTGGCATTTTAGAAAATTGGGGAGGTGGAGGAAGAGACGTGTGGGGGTGGAGGGAGTAACACCCATTATAAATCTATCTCAAACAGCCAAAGAAGAAAACAAGGCCAACATTAAAAATGACGCTCAATGATGACACTTGGCGCCAAACCTCTCGTAAAAAGTGGCGTTCAATGATATTTCTAGTGCTTAGTGTCATTCCTTGCAAAAAGGGGTACAAATGATAAGTGTGAAAAGAGTTGTTTTTACACTTATAAATAATCTCAGTCTTATAATTATTCATGTTATTACTCAGTCAAAAGTTGTAATAGGAAGTAGATTGTTATGTAAATTATTGTACAGGAAAGGGTGTATAATTTGAAATTTGTCAGCCAATTTTCGCAAAGCGAAAGCCAAATTTTGCACTGCCAGAAAAAGGAAATTTGCATAGCGCACCAGTACTTGTGCGCTGAGCGAATAACATCAGTTAAAGTGCAATAGTTAAAGGAAATTTGCACAGTGCACACACACTTGTGCGCTGAGCGAATTAATGAAGTTAAATGGCTTTAAAAGACGTGACAAAAAGGAGAAACCATCTTCTGACACACGAAAAAGCCAGAAAAATACTGAAGAACTCAGGAGACGATCAGGAGACCTTTCAAGACATCAAGACTTCACTTTCTGAAAGGAATTGCTGTAAATAGTATGTTTGAGATGTCTAGGATAGCCTAAATTTTTTGTTCATTGGAATTGGTTGTATGACGACACATTAATGTAGATTTTCTGTGCAATATATGTTTCTATTCTTGTTCTTTTCTTGACTTGCTTTTGATTATACGGAAGTATTATTCTGTTTAAAAGTTTTTTTTGTACTGGGAAGTATTTCTAGAATCAGAAACGTAAGAAAAGAAACTAAAAGTAACTACGCTAGGAATAACTTCTGTGCTTTTGGTTATTCTCAACATCTGAATTTAATGCAAAATTATCTGATGAATTAACTAAGGAATTAATAATTCAATAGATAATTTTAGACCTTGTTTTAAGGAATTAAACCAAGATACTCTTATGTGAATGCTTGAACAGAGAATATATGTTGTCCAGGATTTTACTATAATGTTAGTCAAAGACCAATTTCAGTGATCTTTTATCGTATTTTTCGATCTTAAACTTTTGTACGTTGTTAATTTCATGCTAATTGCCAATTTGAAATCTCAAATGTTATCAGTAATTGATCTTGATAAATAATTTTAATTGAATAACATAACTCAAATTCCCTTGGGAGAACGATACTCTTAACTTAATTCACTGTATTACTTGAACGATTTGATATACTTGCCAAAAAGTTATCACACAACGACACTTCTTGGTGTTCAACGTCCTGGAGCTAAAATGCTCCAAACTTGCAGTTCAAAGTTTCCATTCATTGGTGTTATGCTGTCACTAAGCGCCAAAGCATTTGTAAAACATGACGCTCAACAGTACAATTTGGCGCTCAACGATCTAGAGCTAAAATGCTCTTAGACATGCACAATGAGCCTGACACTCAACTGCAGTCTACTACCACTTAGTGATTTATCAGAAACCAGAAAAAGAATATTGTGATAGAAGGAATTTAACCTGTTCAATTGATTAATTTGATACTTTCCCGTCCACGCTTTGGTTCAAAACATTTTTACATACAATGAGCCTGTACTAACACTCAATTGTTCAAATTTCAATTCTCTCATTCACACAGAAGCAAATTATAATCAATTACAACCATTCTAATATATAATTGTCATCCAATTCATACAATACCACATTAATTTTTACATACAAAACTAGTTTTTGTAGAAAAAGCCAATTTTATCTCCAATTCATTCTAGCAACACATGAAAATTACAACTAATAATTGCAACATAAAACAACATATAGAGACTATAAATTTAACCTTCCTCACTTGAATAAACCGCTCAAATAGCTAAACATTTCTGAACTTACAAGATATTCAATTTATGCATAGAAACACCACAAAAATATTAGGACCTATCATAATGATCACTAGTCAATACATACTTGTATAGAAGACTAAAACGATATATGCAAGCGAAAGAAAGCCAATCACATTCAAGAAAGATATATTTGGCCCAAGAAAAGAGAAAAAAAAACATTCAAATAGAACTCGATGCGAAGATTATTTGTGGTGTCTCAAATCTTAATTAGATAAACGAAGAGTAAGAACTCATATAAAGAAGTGAACGAATTATAGAAAAGTGATTTTTAGAGAATTAATGTAATAAAACTCATTTATAAAACTTTTTATTTATATAAACTTATTTTATACTAAAATAACAAAGGGTCATTATTTTTAAATCATTATTAATTGTAAAATATAATTTTCTACATTCTCACAATAATAACTAATTATTTTTTATCTCTAAAATTAATTACTATTTAAATAGTTTTTTTTTGTTAGTTGTGTGTATATGAACCTATACTATTCATCACTGCAATATAGTCCTAGCAAAATGCAGTATTCGTTAGACACATTCATACACACTGGTGTGCCTCCATGCATTTCTTACTGCTTTGAAAAAAATCATAATATGCTATTGGGGTACACCATATTTTTACTCCTTACACCTCATTGTTCTCATATTTCGTGTTGTTCCTTTTATTTACACCTACAGATCAAACTTTCCTTTTCTACCCTTTGCACATCGCTTCCCTTCCCCCCACTTGTGTGTATTTTAATTTGTTAACATAACAACACAAAAACACTCTATTTATACTTCTATACACAATTGCATCCTTTGTAATGCTTATGGTCCGTGTTCATCCCACCATTCTCCTTGTTGTCCAGCTTAACATTTAGATATACATATTGGTATAATCTCCAAAGTTATAATCGGTTACGGACAGAAAACATCAAGATTATTAAAGCATATATATAAACACTAAGCAAAAAGATCGTTATAGAGAAACATTGATACATAGTTTAAAGATTCATACGCAAACTACTGATTTACATAGGGATATGCATAACAATAACATATGCATGCAACGTACAGTGAAGGAGAGTGAATGAGCAGAAGTTCATGGTTTACGTTTCTCAATGCATTTAGTGAAAATCCAAACAAATAGCCGCAGACAAAGGACAAGTGTGACGAGTCCTAGAAGTGAAAACCAAATATAAATGACTTTATTAAACATGGTGTCGGTGGTGTACCAGAGGGGATAAGGGGTGACCATTTCTGCACCAATCATGTAGGTCACTGTGAGGCTGGTCATGGTGATGCAGGTGCCTATTGACAGAAGCCAGGTGAAAAATCTATGATTCAGAGGGAAGCCACTCACTAGCAAAAGGCACACAGCTAAGGATGAAACGAAGCATATAGTGTTCGACAAAAGGAATCTGGTATAATCCTCTGGGAAAACTACAGCTAGAACTGCTTCACCTTGGCATGGATTACGATCTTCAGATCTTCTACATTCGACATGTCCAGTCTCTTTCGCTGGTCTAACACCACCTGGTGGATTAATAGCAGTTTGAAATGTCATGGTGGTGATTATGGTTGCAGCCAAACTCAGATTCCCTCTCATGTCCTTCAGCCATTCATCCTTGTTCACGTTAATTCCCAGCCAATTCCCCATTTTTTCTATCCATGTTTTCCACCTTTTCTTCTCTTCTTTCAACTCGCTTTTATCCTCCATTGTAACGGATATACCTCTCATAATCACCTTATCAGTTCTGCACTTCATCAGCTAGGGTTAATATGTCTAAATCTGTTATGCTGTGGAATTAAATTTAATTACATGAATGTCTCGTAATCGTTTCAATATTTATCAGGTTTAATTATTCAGTTATTTTGCTTTAACTACTTTTCATGCCATGGATTAAAAAAAATAAAATAAAGGGTTTAAAAGAGTTTTGAGTAAGTTCAATCTCATTATGCCATGTGCAAGGAGAATCAAAGGATTGCACACACGAGTCTATTTCTATTACTTGTTTGAAATCTATGAAATCTCAGTGATACATGAGAATTTTAAAATACTACTCCAAAAACACAACACAACAACGTGTATATTGTTTGATAGAAACGAATGAGTTTTCTCTGTTGTTTTTTGTGACAGACTGTTGTTTGGTCATTCTAGGTATAATGTTTTTGAGGTAATTGGTTTTTATACTTGAAAAGAGTGAGATCCCAGAATCCGTTAAAGACAGAATGATTCCTCCTCCTCCTTTTCTTTCTTTATTTTTTTCATATCTATATGTATTTGACAACCTCTCATGGTAATTTTAAGTGTTCTCTTACATAAAAAAAATATCCATAACAAGTGCACACACAAACACATATTAAAATACATACCTTATCTTTCTTAGTATGAAAGCTGAAGATGCTATTAGTTTATTTCCTTTTGCAACGAAGCTCTGGCTCAAGTGAATGCTGCTGTTGAAGCCAGAAAAGGATACATTTATAGCTGCAAAACTTGTTCATAAGGCTAAGAAATAAGGGTATGGTGGGAATTTGTAAAATCAGTTTGGTGGATGTGTGAATCACTTCATTGAAAAGTGACTTTAGACTGCAATTTGTTGTAGTACATTGGTCATCTAAGCAATGATTTTTTTATTGAGAGTCTATTTTGTATGTTTTCATTATGAAATGAATAATTTATGATTATGATCAATTTTATCCTCATTTTTTTCGAAACATATCCCATCATATTTGTTAAAACAAATGTACTAATTTTCCCTTTGCAAATTTTCTTAAGCATAAAAAATGTTTGGTATAGACATTTGAATAGATTTGTCTGCATTGAACATATGATTAGCTAGCAAACAAAGACTGTAGAAATTATTATCATGCATGGGACAATTTTTTAGATTCAAAAGCAATTAATAATTGATGTATCCAACCAAAAGCATGCCCGTGCGACCCACACACAGAACAAAAGCCATAATTATTTAATAGTGGATTTTGCTTTTGAATAAAGATGACCCTGTTATTTCCACAAAAAAAGTTATTTTTGTTTTACCAGTAATTAATATGTAAATTATTATTATTATTATCATTATTATAATAGATTTGTTCGGATACAACTTCCCTACAAACATTTATAATATAAAAAATAGCATTGGCTTATGAAATAAAATAAAACAAATTTGAGAGGATTTTATATAAAAAAGTAATTTATACTTATGGCGCATATTTAAGAAAAATATTCTAAATTTTTACAAAATTTAATTTTAGCATGAAATTTTTTTGCATTCTATATTTTCTTTCTTAAAATGTTTTTGAGAAAATATTTTTTATACAGGTTTTGTATTATTAATAATAAGTTTAATAATTCTTATAATTCCTAGGTTTAATCGCCTATTTTGTCTCCATTTTGCTGAATGATGTCAATTTAGTTTCTCATTTTAAAAGTGTGTGAAATTGATTTTTACTTAATAAATTTTGGGTCAACATGGTTAGCCTTTTTTTTTTTTTTGTCTCTGCTACTCTGAATTCTTCTGAACATAACAACTTTTTCTATTTGTTAAATAAATTTTAAATTTAAAAATCAAATTGTATTATTCTGTCTCCTCTTATAATCACAACAACTTTTTGTGAGTTAAACCAATATATGAGCAAACTTCACATGACAGATATCATGGCTTGAGTTCCAATATTTCATGGACACGTAACAACAAACAAATATAAAAAGAAAGAAAAACTAAAATCTCTAGCAGAGCATGGAGGGAAAAATCAAAGAGCATGAGGGAAAAATGAAAGCTTTTGACATTGTAGTAATGCATTTGTGTTGTATATAATATATAATTATCATTATCCATATAATAAACATGACTGGTATGTTTGTACTGGAACCAAAATAAAAAATAATTAATTATTGATTATATGTATATATTTAATTTAAAATTGTGGAGTAATTTAAAGACTAAAAGGTTATTTAGTCTGATTATCTTTTCTGAAAGTCACAGCACCATGTTTTGCACTGCACTTAATTATATATGTTTGCGAATTCTCGGAGAAGGACCCAATGCTTGTGCTAACGCAATAAAGTGGATTCGCGATCATGGTGGTGTATTGCATATACCTTCATGGGGGAAATTCTGGTTTTCAGTACGAATATTTTTCTGTGACATTTAAATATTTTTTTTGAAGCTTACGATAAAAATACTTGGAGGAAAGCACGTCATACATGTGCAAAAGTAAGATATACTCAATTATTAATGTTTGCAGTCACAAGCAGTGAAAAGTAAGGGTTGGTGTGAAAATGGAATAATCAACCTTAAGAATGAAACTGAGGGTTCATGGAGCAATGGAAGTGATAGCAACTCAGACATTAATTTAGAACTCTCAATAACACCAATTATGAATAACGCTACATCTTGTCAAACACCCTTTCCCACCTACATCACTCAGATCTCTCAATATTCCTCAAAACCAGACTTCGATGACAAAAGAAAGAGAAAAATTCAAATTAGTATATAAATTGTATAGCTTTGACAAAAGAAAGAGAAAAATTCACATAAGTATATAAATTGAATAGTTCTGACAAAAGAAAAAAAAAAGTTAGTTGTGTTCAGAAGAGGAATTCACAGGAGCAAAAGATACAGAAAGAAAAAGCTAACACCGGTTGTGTTATTTAACCGAAGAGATGATGTTAACGAAAACTTTATTAAGTAAAGATCAATTTTACATACTTTTAAAATGAATGACTAAATTGACATACTTTATTAATTGAGTTTTACTATTAAATAGGATTATTGAAGTTAAAATTGAGTCAAGTTATTGATGTGAGGTGGACTCACGAAATTATATTACGTGGCATATTCAGAACAGAATATATAAAATTAAAAATAAAAAAAATGTTTCTAAAAATTGAATTTTTCAACAAGAAATTAGAGTTTTTGGAAACCAAATTAGAAATGAAATTTCTGAAAACTAAATTAGGATTTGTTGAAATTGAAAACGAAATTTTTGAAAACTAAATTGGGAATGAGAGATTTCAGTTATTCTGGTTGTTACTATTTGAGATTTTTTATGTTTCTGACTTTCTCTCTGCAGATTCACGAAGAACCCAAAGTTTTCATGACTAGATTTTTTTTTATCGTTTTTATAAGAGTTTTACGATAAGAGTTTCATTTCTATTTGTTTTTTTTTTCTTTTTTATTTATAGAAGATTGTGTTTATGTGTATGACTTTATGTTTTTATTTTTGAAAGTCATGCTTACATGAAATATGTTTTTGTTTTTAATTTCCATTTTTAGATGTCATGTTTATCCCTATTGGAGGAAACAATTATAATGATTGATATGTGAGAGTAATAAGGGGAAAAAATCAGTGTGTTTATGCAATTTATGCATATTAAATTTGGGTATGCCCAGAAGTTTAGTATAAATCAGTGTGTTTATCCTCTGGAGTCTTCGCATGGCATTGTTTCAATTTCCAACCTTTCACATCACACCCGTCCCAATATTAATGGTTAAAATTAAAAGTTATTTTTATTAGAAAAAAAAATGAAATAAAGCTAAGATGAGACGTGATCGTCATCTATTCATTCAAGACCGTTGTAAGAAAATCGTATAATATTGATTCGGTGTAACGTTTAAATTTAAATTAGCCTTTTTTATTTATTAATTTCTAAACAACACCTACTTTATTTCAGAAAATAATTTAAATGAAATTTTTAAACGAAAATGACATGAGCCCTCGTGTAAATTGAATTTATGTTTATTTTTATTGATTTTTTTGACAAAAGATTAATTATTATATGTATATTTAAAAAATAAAAGTCACGTGTGAGAGAGATCGAGAGAAGGTTATGTTAAATGAGAGTTATATGTGGATGAATAGAAGAATGTTGGGAAGGTTATTTAGAGCCAACAGCAAGTCCTAAATGCCAAAAAAGTTGGGTTGACCATGAAAGAGACGAGGTCAAAGTTAACAACTTTGTTAGGATAAGATAATATTATAATCTAACTTTGTTAGGATAAGATAAGATTAATCTGACATGATGAAAAAGTTAATAACTTTGGTGTTTGTGGCGTCGATGTTCTGAGGGAAGATCAAAATAAATGTTGGCAAAGGTCTTTGATATCCTCTCACACACTAATTAATACAAAATTAATAGACATCATAACTAAACAAGTATTAACTTGTGACCTCATTCAATAAATACTAACTGAGAAAAAAATATTATTTTTCCTATGAATTAACATTAGTTTAAGTATGAATAAAAAATACCTTATTTTCTTTTAAAAGTATTTATGGAAAAACTAATCTTAATATACTTTTAACAAAACAATTATTTTAATTCACTTTTTTTAAGTGGATAGATTAAGAACCGTTAATTTCACCTTTTTAATTGATAAGGGCTTATAGCATTTTTCGGGTCACTTTGTCATGCTAGATTTTTTTAGAAAAAGTAAGCTGAAAGATAAAAAGAATATTAGAAGGTCTTAGCTTTTGGTTAATATGGTATGAAAATGGTGTTGTATTTANTCGATGTTCTGAGGGAAGATCAAAATAAATGTTGGCAAAGGTCTTTGATATCCTCTCACACACTAATTAATACAAAATTAATAGACATCATAACTAACAAGTATTAACTTGTGACCTCATTCAATAAATACTAACTCAGAAAAAAATATTATTTTTCCTATGAATTAACATTAGTTTAAGTATGAATAAAAAATACCTTATTTTCTTTTAAAAGTATTTATGGAAAAACTAATCTTAATATACTTTTAACAAAACAATTAGTTTAATTCACTTTTTTTAAGTGGATAGATTAAGAACCGTAAATTTCACCTTTTTAATTGAAAAGGGCCTATAGCATTGTTCGGGTCACTTTGTCATGCTAGATTTTTTTAGAAAAAGTAAGCTGAAAGATAAAAAGAATATTAGAAGGTCTTAGCTTTTGGTTAATATGGTATGAAAATGGTGTTGTATTTAGAGTCAAGATTTTAGAGTATAGAAGACGATTGGTGAAGAAGAAGTGTCTCTGATAAAATTTTTGTTGTTGTAATTATTATTATTATTATTATTATTATTATTATTTTTTACTTTTTTAAAAGTATATAAAAATTTAATTTTTATAATTATTTTACTTTTTATAAAGAATATAAATAAATAATATTAAGTAACGATATTGTAATGAATGAAAATGATGGGAGACCCGAATTAGAGGCTAATAAATGAAGGAGTAATCTTGGATAAGTGACACATTATTCTTAAGGGATTGAGCGCAAGATAAACACGTAAGAAGTTGATTAATTCAAAATTGCATGGGTTTGAGAATTGATAGACAGGCGTATAAAAATTCTATAACGGAACTCAAAAAAAAAAAAGGGAAAAGAAACTGTACCGTACGGTTCACTACATCGGTGTGTATTGTATAGTCTATCGTGATACCAATCACCACTTAGGTCATCCACTCAAGCCGTCCTTTCATGTTATCTTTCTAGGCCGTACTAGGTCACTTTTTCAAGTTCGTCCAACCAGGTCGTCCTCTCATAACGTTTTCTCAGGCCGTCT